ATTTCCAAGACTACTGTTAATGGGTATTAGGCAATACTCGAAACTGTTCAATTAATTAAAATAATATAAAAAAGAATTTTTCTTGTCATAGTTTAGTACTTTTCGAAAACCTCTTTATTTAATATTTCATTTTAATAATAATTTTTTTTTTTTCAAGGGCTTTTTTAAAAAATTTAATTTTTAAATATTTTTTTTTAAATGAGTATTATTTAACTATTGACCACTTACGCCGTCTTAAAAAAAAAATTATTATTAAAAAATTGTGGTCATTAAAAAAAACAATAAATTATTATTTTATTTTTAATAATCTGGTATAATTATAAACATTAAGCTTACAGCTTTATTGATTTTGCCGATAGTGTTATTATTATATATATTTTATTAATATAATATATATAAATAATGATAATATTTTAAATAGGTGGATAAGGGTTACTTTGAGTGGAGATTTATTTTTGTTATTCTCTTAAGATGAATATCTATTAATATTCGATATACTGAACTATAATGTAAATACTTATATATACTTAGAGTGTTTGCTTGACTCTACCTAATTGTTAAGGATCAATAATTCCCATTAAAAATAAATTAAATACTACTTATTCATTAACTTTTTATTTTCAAGTGCTTAAAATAAACAAGCGTGTCTCATACTAAAGTTAATAATTGATTATAACGTTGTTCAGAATATTTTCACTTCATAAAATTATACAATTTTTTTAATCATTATTTTAGATACATATTTACTTTGTCGCAATGAAAAAAATTATTTAAGTACTACTTCATGTGATTAAAGTTTCGTAATTGGTTTTTAAACTTTTTTATATTTCAATAATTAAATATGTTACTAATGAAGATAAATAACTTAATTATTAGAGTCACTTAACATGTACTATCATTTAAAATTATATAATTTTACTTCAGATCGATAAAGTTTTGTAATAACAAATCGTAATAATAATTGTGTAATATTTCCTACAATGCAGTGTAATTTTTATTTATTCTTTATCATAAATCATAGACCACAAATATCTCCAATAAATTTCAATATTAATAATTAAAGCGATGCTATATTAAAAATAAACCAATTTTTTAAACCCGAAACATCATGTAGCGTACAGTATAACATCGAAACAACATGAAACATAACAGCATAACATCGAAATATTTTGAAATATCATAGTGTTACATCGAAACACCATGCAACATTACAATATAACATCGAAGTATCAAAAAAGATTGCAGTATAATATCAAAACCTTATAAAATATTACAACATAACATCGAAACATTGTGAAACATTACAGCATAATATCAAAATATCTTAAAATATAACAAAACATCTTGCAATATTACAGTTAAACATAGAAATATTATGAAACAATACCGTATAATATCGAAACCACACACAACATTAAAGCATAACATCGAAACATATAACATCGAAACATATAAGAACTATTACAGTATAACATCGAAACTTAGGTACATGAAGCATTACAGTATCACATCTTGTTGCCTGAACTAGATTTGCATAGCCTGACGCAAATTCTATATATAAATCTTATAAAAATAATTGCATCTAGCAGGAAATAATTACATCAACTACCAAATATAGATCAACTATTTGTTACAGTTAGATAGAAAAATTGATAGAATAATAGAAAAAGAATGGAATAAAAAAGAAACAAAAATTATTATATTATGTAAATAGATTGAAAAATATCAATGGAAGATGGGCGCACTTAGACTCTAATAAGCAGATCAATTATAATAAGTGTTAGAGTCTAAGTGCTGGGCGCTCTTAGACTCTAATAAGCACATCGGTTATAAGAAGTGTTTAAATGCATATAAAAAGAAGTTTAAAGCTCGCTTACTTACTGACAGAGTTTTAGATAGAGCTCTGCATAGTTTGGACCGGGAAACCACAAATGACTCAAGTAAAGTAAATGCATACACATAAAGTATCGAAGAGACATTAAAACCTTTTAACTAGTTTCGGACAGTGTTAATTGAAACGAACAATTTTTCTGTTCCTAATTAAACCCTATTTTTTTTGTTTTTTGACAAATACGACAACTAAAAGCTTTCAACGGTGAATCAATTGCTTTCCTATATTGTAATTGTAGATTGGTTATACCATATATGTTGAATGACAAGATTGTTCCTAGTGCCACCGATGGTTCGCCATTTTAAAGCATACCATTTTTTTATTTCATTTTGTTTTATTATATAATAGAAAATTAAATTTCACTTCTGTATAACTCAACAGTCTTCTAGTTGTTAAGAATATATTTATGATTTCATTTCAAGTTAAGACTTCATATACGATATTCTAATAGCGTAATAATAGCGTAGAAGTGACAATCCTAACGGCAAATCAGCCAAATAGCCAACTATCTATTCCAACTGCACAACCATCCCCTGACGTCTCTACCTCCAGCACTTTTCCCACAGACGCATCCAACCCTTGCGTTTCAAACCCACCCAATACCTCGCGCAATATTTCACTGAATGGGATTCTGATGCCACCATCATCTTCTTTGACAACCGCGACACTTGTGACCCTATGCACAGAATCTACCACTAGCCCAATTCCCGCGCTCCAGTAGGAATTACTCCCAATCTACCTACTCCACGCCCATAAATTCTGGCTTAGATAAACCTAGTCCAGTTGATATTGAGTGTCCTGCTTATCTCCCCTTCTCCCTTGATTGCTGGAATGAAGTTTCCAGTAATGAATAGAAATCTACTCAATCTTTCCTAAGAGGTGGTTTTATTGAGTTATGTCTAGCACCGTGACTTTTGATGCTTTCCAACAACTGCAAAAAAAAAAATTTAATACTGGAGGAAAAACCCACTCTTTGGCTGTAATTAAAAATGTAAATACATCTGCAAAAAGGGTTATTGTGATGAAAACACTCAATTATGAGATGATTGGAGTAACTTCAATCTATCTCACAAGTTAGTGTGAGTTAGTAGGTGCAAAAGAAAACTACAGGCTCTGTTTCCCTGTTTATCTTGCAGTATTTCTCATGAAAAATTAAATTATGTGCTGTCATAATTATCTTATCAAGTTATACTATTTCAATGCAAACATTTTTGCTTGGGATGATTTTCTAATATATATTGTCAAGAAAACTTTTAAATTAAAAAAACTCTAATACTTGTGTTTAAAAAAATAGATTAATATTATTATACAGATAGATGTCATAGATATACTCCTGTAAGAATGTAGAAAATGTTGAGATATAGATTAGAGATCTATTAAGTAGTCATTTTCGAGAATAAGGACTATTGGTAAAATAATTTATTAATAAAACTAAATTATAAATAATAAATAATCGCAGCAGTAAGCAAATAACAAGTCGTTTCCTTAATTCTTAACTTGAAGGTGTGGCATTAGTAGAGGAAAACCTTTATTTAAATTCCCTTTCAGAACAAAATATTATGTAAATCAGTTTTATTATATAAACTGAATTAAAAATTAATATAATAACTGAGATTTTTTTTGGAATTTATAATGTATCGCTAGTTTCAATTATTATTGTAATTATTGTAATTATTGTAATTGTATTATTGTAATCTTCCTATTTTGAATAGTTCATAATATAGACTTATTGCCTTTTCCTTAAAACTGTTCACATATAAATATATATTTTAGTTATGCAATATTTTGCAGTTCAGTAGCTAATACATAATATTTAATCTATTTAAAAGCTAATATTGACCAATTAAAAACTAACTGCAACAAATGTAATTATTTACAATCAAATAATTAACAGAAAAAAAAATTCCGATAAAATAACTATATTAATTGATTTAAGTTAATTATTAAGATGTGTTTATAATTAAGTTTGTTCGTTGCAGTCAAATTTTTATAAATTAAACAAATTTTTGTTGTTGTTTCTTCATTACTGTTCGTACCCTTCTTACTTAAAAAGAGAAATTTCTTAGTAAAATAATTTTAAATATTTTTACTTCTTTTTCTTAGAAGTTACGAACCTATGGGGTTTTGAGAATTTGCATTTTGGAATTTTTTTTTAAAAACAATATCACAAGCCCTATAAAAGATACAGATTTGCATATTTTGGATAAACGAAATATTGAACTTTTTAATCCATAAAAAAAAATTAATAGAACTGACATATTTATTTCTACTTCAAAATAAAATTAACCTTATAGTCCACAAAAATATATTAAAATTTAAATAATTTTTTTGGTTATTAGGTAAAATAAATTTTTTTTTAATTTGTGATATGTCTTAATTGAATAAATTTAATTGAAGAAATAAATGAAATTAAATAAATTTTTGTTGACGATAACCACCGATTTTTTGAATATATATCTTTGAATAGGTATCAAATAGTAATTTGTTGTACTTCAAAATAAAATTGACCTAATAGTCCACAAAAATAATTCTTAATTTAGTAAATTTCTATTGACGATAACCACAAATATTTCGAATACATATCTTCAAACAGATATCACAAGTGGTCTTAAGAATTATTTATTGGTTAAAAAAAAATTATATAGAGCATTTTAAACCAATCATCATGTCCAAAGACTACAGATCATAGATAACATATATGGCGATATCCTAAACAGCTGTAAATATGATTAACCAAGATTAAAAAAAAAATTATGTAGAACATTTTAAACCAATCAACATGTCCAAAGACTACAGATCATAGATAACATATATGGCGATATCCCAAACAGCTGTAAATATGATTAACCAAGATTAAAAAAAAATTATGTAGAGCATTTTAAACCAATCAACATGTTCAAAGACTACAGATCATAGATAACATATATGGCGATATCCCAAGCAGCTGTAAAAATGCACTTGTTTCAGGATAAATATTTGTTGGTATATATCCTTACAGTCTATCAAGTTTATTTTATACATACTAACATACATATAAAAATGCACTTTTTTAAGGATAAATATATGTTGGTATATATCCTTACGGTCAATAAAGGTTATTTTTACATACTTGCAATAGCCCAAAGCTTTCCAGAAACAATATTCCATAAAGTTGTGTTGAGATCTTTTCGACATCTGGTTTCCTTAATAAAATTCAGACTTTGTAAAAATCTGTCAAACTCTGTTGCCGTTATGTATGCATCAGTGGGTACATCAGCCACTAAGGATAATTCTTCAGACTCTGCATTTGTAGAGTTTATCAAATTTATTGGCACCGAAAGATTTACAGGATCAATGTTGTTTTTATCATTTTTAGTATATTGAATTGATACGGTATATGTATTAATAATAAAAAAATTAATAAATAAATAAAAAATTAGCAATTTTGATAATCTCTGCATTTTAAACATTTTTATATTTTTTATTAAATAAATTTTGTAATTTTTTTTCTTAAATTAAGTCTATAACAATTTTTCTGTTCGTGGAAGTAGTAGTTTCTAATATTTTTTAACTTTTAATTTTATTTATACACATTGCACTCGTTAATAATTTTTTTTTATTTTTGCACTACAGTTTGTTCTTAATCAAGTTTCGTTTTCTACAACCGCTCGCTATGAAACTTAAACTCGAACTGTTTGTTAAGAAATTATCTAAGCCAAGTTTAGTGGCTTTCCGTTGGCTTTACTTAACGACAAATCTGCGTTACATTAGTCACTAAATCGGCTGTTATGAGAGTCACGTTCGTAACGAGCCAAAATGTTAACGAATATTTCGATAGGCTGTTGAAGTCTAAGCTCTAGTCGATTTGTTGATTTATTCTATGTGCATATACGCAAATTATGTTTTCAATATATTTTTACTCTCTCGGTAACCTCTCAAGTCAACGGTACTTATTTCTCTTAGATAAAATACGGAACGTACGTTCAAGTCATTTCTGGTGATATAATTTTACTTTCTTCAATTGATCTTGAAAAAAGTACTTTATTATGGTTGTTTCATAAGAAGTTCATGCGTACTACATTAAGACCGAAAAGTTTTCGGAAATTCTCATTTAAAATTCGCGCGCTGTATATTTTTCGATATTTTAAGTATGTAGTTTGGCAGCACTGTCCTTAATTACTATGCCAAAAATGAGCGCGATCTGTCAGACAGTTCGTTTACGGCAGCTGTTGAAACCAGTTCACCTCAGTAGGGCGTTGCGAAAAAAACAATGGAAAAAAATATTGAACAAAGAGTTTGCATCAAATTTTGTGTTTCGAACGAAATTTCGTGTGCAGAATCGTTGCGAATGCTACAAAAGGCTTATGGGGAATCAGTTTTATCGAAAACTCAAGTTTATGAGTGGTACAAAGCCTTCCAGGACGGTCGTACGACCGTCGAAGACATTTCGCAACGCACTACTGAGGTGAACTGGTTTCAACAGCTGCCGTAAACGAACTGTCTGACAGATCGAGCTCATTTTTGGCATAGTAATTAAGGACAGTGCTGCCAAACTACATAAACTTAAAATATCGAAAAATATACAGCGCGCGAATTTTAAATGAGAATTTCCGAAAACTTTTCAGTCTTAATGTATGTTACTCAAAAAGAAAATATATTACTTAGCATATAATGTGTTTCAGTTTGACCTTAAGTATTTGAAATGAAAACAAAAAATAATAAATTTATATATTCATTATTTATATTTTAAATAATAAAGAGGTTTTTCAAATAGTAGTGAACTACAACAACAAAAATTTATTTCATATTACTTTAATTAATTGAATTTTTGGCTGACCATACAACAGTTTCAGGTATTGTCAAATACCCATCATCAGTGGTCTTGGAAATAATTCTTGTATTTAATTATTCGTAAATAATTTTTTTTTTTGAGACTGCAAGTACCAGGAATCGAACTCGTGCCCTGCCAAATTTGAAGCTCAGAGTCAGCGCTCCTTAACCTGACTTAAAACTAAACTTGACTTTTATGTTCGCACATTTTTCTGGAGTGTTGTTATTTTGCTGTTAAAGTTTTATTAACAAATTGTATTTTTATTATAACGAAATCATAAATAATTATAAATAATGTAGAATAATTTAATTAATTAATTATATATTTTTTATTTTTTAATTGTTAAATACTATTAATTGCAATACTATTCTGTTTATAAAGGCATTATTTGTTGCATGATTTATATATTCTTTCTTATGTATAGAACCTAATTTAGGAACGTAGTACTAAGAAAGTCATGCTAATGTTACTCCATATTACTTAAATAATTTAAGATTTTAAATTAAATTTTTAAAGTCAATTATGACAAAAGAAATCATGTTTTGTAATAGAAACTATTGTTTTAATAGAGAGGTATTTTAAATAGTAATAAATCACAACAACAAAATTTTATTATTTATTAATTAATTGATTTATATATTGTATATAAGATTTGTTTTAATATTTCAAATATACAAAATTGTAATTATACTGATTATTTTTAATTTAATTTAATTGCAATGACACAATTTTTTTATATTTAGTTAAAATTACTTAATATTGTACAATAGTAGTATTAGTTCTTATACTAATTGCGTAACGTTTTCATTTATACTAAGAACTTACAGCAAGTTCTTAGCTCTAAGCTAAGTTTCAGCAAACTTATCTATAACTTAAATTATATATAATTATATTCCATGAATTATATATAAGCTATATTTGTTAAAGTAAAGTTAATGTGGACTCGTTGCCGCCTAAATTATTTTTTCTCTGCAAAGAAAGCAGTATTCTCTGTAAATGATGCAAAGATATGCCATATTAATGATTAGTCATAAGATATTGACAAGTTGAATAAATACAATAAATACAAAATAACTGCTAGGATTGCTAGCTTAATTTGTTTTTTCAAGTCCCAAGTACCATACATTTTAGAAGGCTTGGGACACATCTCATTGCAAATAAAATTTCTTTTATCACTCTATGTGTTTAGTCATTTCTAAAGTGAATTAGCTTAAGACGAATAAGGTTGTCGATATTTAGACATAAAAATAATGCGACAGATAATAGAATAGAACTCGATTTATTTTATGGTGTGGATGATATATTTTATTTTATAAAGACTATAATGCCTATACCCAGACAAAGATATGGACAGAGAATAAAACAAATCTTAATGATATTGTTATGTCATTCTATAAAGAATGTGTGTCCAATTTAAAGAATGATTTCAGATTTCAGCCCATTTAATATAAAAAAAATACTATACAAATTACAGTTTTTTTTTGCCAAATACAAACTAATTCTGAACAAATCGGGTAAGTTTTTACTGTAAAGTCTTCAGTTCAGATTGGTTAGTAGATTGGTTAGTAGATGGAAAGCATTTAAGTCATGTGCAACTTTCAGTTTAACATGGCCCATCTAATGTAAAAATATATCCTCAGAACTCATCAAAAGAGAGCGCGTGAACACTGCAAGGCTTACTGCAGTTCTTTCTGGTCATTGATGTATAGGAACCCACGCAGATTAACTGCGCATTCCGCATAATCCTCACTACAAAAGTTGTGGAAACCAGCAGGAAAAAGAAATTATAATACACTTTCTCTGTGAATGTTAGGCTTTGGCGTCCAGATGATATATGTTCTTAGAAAGATACTTCTTTGATAGTTTATAATACTGTTCATCGGTGAAGACGACAGACCTATTGAATTATCTAAATTCGGGATGGATTTAGTCTCTACTCTTCTATACTAAGGTTCCTTTGATGAATGTTGTAGCAAAACAGCGAAAAATCGCTAATTGAGGTACATGGAAGTTATCTAATAACCTGCCACTGCAGCCAACCAACCAACCAAAAAAAAAATACATTAATATATTAATTAATAATAAATAATTAATAATTTGTATAAGCGTCAATTTACCCAACGTATAAAAAGTTATCTACATAAGTTTTTGTAAAATTTTCACAGCTTTATCGCCATGCTTTTTCTTTGCTTCAGCAACATTTGAAAGCTACATTTGGTAAGCAACATTTTGTTAGCAACATATACTGAGCAACATTTTGTAAGCATCAGTTTTAAGCAACATTTGCAAGCAACATTTTACTAATGCTATCAGACAATTAAGAAGTTTCGAACGTTTTATGGTCATGTTTTCCATTTTCGCTAATTTGGTCGATGTGTGAATTTATTGCAAAAACGTTTCATTTTGACAATAAATCTGCAAAAAGCACGTTTTTCAGTTCACACTTTTTTTTTAATGCAAATAATCATGATAGTTTTACAATATAAAAAAGCCGCTAATGTAAACTAAATCTGAGCATGAAGTAAATTAATAACAAAACCCAATTTCGGGTAGTGATCTTTTAAAATGTATATAAAATGTCACATACTGGCATTGAAATTATAATTAACACTAAAACGATTTCTATATTATTTTTTTTGTATTCAATGAATTTTATATTACAAATATATTAATATATCACACATGACATGAATGTAAGGTTAAAATAAGCCGGTATAAGTACAAAAAAAAAATATAAATAAATAAAAAATTAAAAACAAAATAAAAAATAAAAAAAAAACAAAAAAAAATTAAAAACCAAATAAATAAATAATTAAAAAAAAATAAAACCTTTAAAGCATGTATAAGAAATATTGTACTTACAAAATTTAAGCTATGGTTTACCCATTTAAATTAGAGTATTATTTAATAAAGCTCTCTCTCTCTCTCTCTCTCTCTCTCTCTCTCTCTCTCTCTCTCTCTCTGTCTCTGTCTCTTCCTCAATAATAGTTGATATCACTGTAAGGTTGACGAACTCTCAATAAACATATTCTACCTGATCATATTTCATGTAATTTCCTAACTGTATATAATAACAATATAGCACTAAAATACATTATAACTCTAAATAAATATAAATATACATAAATATAAATATATAAATACAAATATACTATAAATAATTAATTTATTTGGGTAAGATAATAAATCCATTTGAAATATAAACTGCAGACTACTTTTATATACTTATATCAGTAAAACTACTACGAAGTAATACTTACGTATTCCTGAGGTAGGACAAGGTCTCTGGGAACTAGGGGGAGTGGTTTTAGTTCGGGCAGTCAGTTTCTGGGGCACCAAACTGTGGTAAGTGCGTAGCAAAAGTACTATATTAGCAAAAGTGTATTAGCAAAAGTACTATATGCGTTTAAAATCTCTTGTGTTTCTCTTTCGGTGTTTTTAAATCTCTTTGTTTGTCCCTTAAACAGTAAAGCAATAGGCTAATAGGACTAATTGGATCACTTTGGATTGCCGGTATAACCTTACCTAACCTTATTCTATGCGTAGTACCTTTCTCATAAGAAGAGCTCAATCTTAAGAACATTATACCAGCATTTAAGAAGAATAGATTTTTAATCATCACATAAAGCGAGTTCAATTAGATTCATAAGAATATCATACCATCAACTCAGCATCAAAGAAGTGTATAGCTTTTAACATTATATAAAGGCAAAAGCATCATCTAAACATGAAAGAAGAATATAATTTTGAAAACCACGAAAAGTAATGATACGTTCATAAAAACATCATCCCATCACACCATCATTAAAGAGAAATACAATTCTTATTACTACATAAAGGGAACTTAGTTAAATTTGTAAGATCATGCTCCCATCAACAAAGAAGAATACAGTTTGAAACACCGCATTAACGGATTTAAATTATATTCGTAAGAAAAAAGGAATTTTCAATAGAATGTAAGGAAAGTAGAGATATATTTATAAAAACATGGTCCCATAAACACATCATCTAAAAAATATAATTTTAAATATCACATTAGCGAAATTTAATAATATTCTGAAGAACATTATCGTATCATCAAAATAGAAAAGAATTTAGAACACCATATAAGAAGAGGCTAGTCACATTCGTAACATCATACCATTATCATATTATCATTATGGTACCATTATGGCTTTAATACTAAATCAATTTTAAATCAATGTGATACATTTATAGATTGAAACATTAGTTCATGAATTTTATTTATTTTATTTTTTATTTATTTTATTAGTATGTAGATTGTTATTCATTAAACTCAAGTGTTATACATTTTGCCACAGATTTACCAATCAAAAATGAAGATGTACTAAAAATGTATTCAAAGAGCATTTCGATTGAAAAAATTACTGCAGATTTACTCATTGAAAACGCCAATAATATGAATGAACTGTGTTGAATAGAATTAGGTAACGTCAACACAATCTCACTCCCACAAAACTTTCGACAGAGTTTCTTCAAGACTTATTCTATAGGCCTACCCAATCCGTTGCTCTCTATTCTGACGAGATGGATCTCTTCCCCCACTCCATTTCACTGTACAATCGCGGTTATAGTAACCCGCTCCACAGAGTATAGTTTTAAGTAGTCTCTCTCATCAGCTAATACTCTCTAGTTAATACCCAATATCTCCTAATAGTTAACGTTCACTACGTCCTCACTCATAGTCTAGATAAATTTGTGACTACAAATACTAAGGCTCCTTTTACTTTTTTCGCCTGAACGCGGCTACAATCATCCATAATCATTCCTAAAAGGTAGTTTTCAGGTCCCACACTGTTGGTTTTGGTGCTTTCCACCTACATAAAAAAAAACTAAATTAGCTATATTTAATTATGAAATGTCTTCTTGTTCGGTGTGAAATGAATGTATTTAACCCAAATATATATCGGTACGGAGGTAATATATTGTAATATAATTAATACATAATATATGTACATAATATGCATAACGACACACAACAAATATGTTATTTAGATATTTAGTCAATTTAGATATTAAGTAAAATTCTTTCATTTGTGTAAATCCTGTATAAATATTTAAATCAATAATTAATAATAATAATGGTTTTATATATATATCTTCTGGCTGTAGGTCCCTTCTTGTTAAATAAAAAAACTATAATAAAAAGTGGGAGAATGTACCCCACCTCTATAGAAAAGTGATTAGTAAAAATTAGTAGATAGAACAAAGAGGTGGACGTTATGCATATTTAATAATACGTAGTAATCGTAGTAACTTATGGTATGTTAACAATATATAATTATATTTTTGTTTAGAAATTCTAATATATATAAGTCCAAAATATGAAAAAATTTTATAAAAAAAAATATTGGTATGTTTGTTGAATAGTTTTGTTATATATTTATTATTAATCATAAAAATTAATAATTAAAATACCTAAATTGTTATATTTATCCTTATAGATCGAAATCCTGATGATGACTCTCAAGGAGAGTCGAAATATAGAGTTCATTAAAAAATATTAAAGTTTTATTATTTAACAAGAAGGAACCTACAGCCAGAAAAAAAAAATATGTATATATAAACGATTTTAATAAACAGGTCGAAAAATAAATTTCAAAAATTTTAATAATAATAATAATACATAATAGTTATTTTAATTCATAAATATTAGGACGAATGACATCCTCAGGGACGTCAAGATTGATTCGATCAAATAATACATAAAGAATAGAGCCCTGAGAGCCCTATTTGCGAAAACTGATAGACTTACCAACACCGCGTTGTCGAGTCTCAGAATAGTTTCAGGTTCCTCGGCGAGGTATGCATATCTGAGGTCAATTATTGCTTAGTCTGATGAAGTGATAAACAATAATCCAGTCAAGGCGTAAAGAGGGGTTTTGAAGATACCTCGAGTTAATAAAGAGTAAAAGTGCACGGTCACAAATAGATTCAACATAATAATAGAAAGTGTGGATTGTGTTGATTTGATAAAACAAATTGTTGTTGCGAGCCTCTTGACGATCAGCTTCGGAAAAACCTCAAAATATTTAAACGAGACCTACGACATCTAGTATTATTAATTATTTCTAATTCTAATTGAAGAATTTAAATTTCAAAGAAAACAGAAATCAAAAACATAGAAATGTAAAGCTATGTAACTTGCCTGTGGTAAAAAAATCATAAATTCTGAAAATATACACTCAATGGGAAAAACATGTCTGTTCAAACATAAAAACTATCGAACTTATTATTTCATGTATGATCACTAATATTTTGTTAGTGGAGACAACAATCAAACCAAGCAAAATATGTTGTGTTCAGAGTTGCCGTTTTAGCACTTTTGCTGCTAGATTTAGCATTTTTTTTTTGTGAAATAGCTGCAAAATTTGATTTTAGCATTTAGCATTTTATTTAGCATTTCAGTTGAATTTTTTTGGCATCATTTAGAAAATAGTTTAAAAATTAATAGAAGTAACATATTTGACACTTTTAAAGAAGAAAAGATAAGGATGAGTGGTGAGGAAATCACAAATATAGAACTTCAATGGCAAAAATTAAAGCTAATATGCTGATTTTTTAAAGCTGATATAGCATAATATTTTTCAGGGATGCGGCCACACTGGTTGTGTTCGCTATTGGTTTGATTGCTGACTTCACTTTATATTTCTGTTTTTGCCGAAGTCAGTGCTTTCCAATATTTCACTTGAATCCAAGCAACAGAGGAAACGCGTCCTATTGGCAAATAAACGAAACGTATTTCAGCAAAAATGTCTATAAATAATAAGAAGTGGAGTGAGCTCTCGTAAGTTAATAATAATACAGCGGTTAAAAAAAGTATTTGTCATTAACTAAATTTTTGTGAAATGTTGCAATAACAACAAAACGAAACAAAAACAATGAAAAAAATAATAATGTAATTTTCAACAGTTTATTCCGTTTATTTGTTTTTATTGTTTATGCTCTAAAAATAGTCTAAAAAAATAAAATAACAAATATAAATTCTATTGCGGAGCAACAAAATATGAAGTTAAAAAAATATTCGTCATTTATGCAATAGAACGAAATTTTGGTAAGCTGAAACCGGGAAATCCCCTTTTTATTTTATATTTTGGTGCTTCGCAATAGAATTGCTTTTATGTTATGTTACTTTTAAATTTCTGTAGTAAAAATAATAAAAATAAATAAAATAGAATCGTGGAAAATTGCATCATTATAAATTGCATTATTTTTTTGTTTCTTTTTGTTGTTGTTATTGGAACATTTCACAAAAATTTAGTTAATGACGAATACTTTCATTGACCGCTGCAGATAATATTCGTTCGTTAGAAAGGTGTAATACAATACAATATAATGTGTTTGTTTTATTAAACCTCAGGATGTTCGAGCGGTTTAAGTTTATGGAAAACACACCCACAGATTGCACTTTTATCGTTGGAATCACCAAAGATGAGATAAAGCGCATACCATGTCACAAGGAAGTCTTGTCACAATGCTCAGAAGTTTTCAGTACGATGTTTAATGGAAACTATTTAGAATCTGAAGAAAATTGTGAAATTCGCTTAAATGATGTTCAGCCATATGTGTTTCAATACTTTATGAATTTTATATATTCGGGTGTTGAACCATTTAAATGGGTTTTAAAAGATCTTGCACAGTTGGCTTATTTAAGTGACAAATATATGATTCGTTCTTTAAGTAATGAATGTGAGCGAAGAATAAAAGATAACTGTTCGGTTACATTATTGGATTTAGTGGAATATCTAAAATACCCAATTTCTGACAAGCTTATGAAAATAATTACAGGATATGTTAGATTAAATTATAGTACAGATGATATTTTGCCGTCTTTGATATATAATTTAAATCTATCATCCTTCCTAGTGGTCATACAGTTAAGTCAAAATAATATAACGAGTTATAGACTTTTTGAAATGATTGAAAATTACGTGAAAATGAATTTTTTTCAAAGAAAAGGATTTATAAAAACTACACACGATACAGAAATACTATGTGGGGCGAATAAAATTATCATTGAACAACTATTGTCAATGGTTCAACTTGAGCAAATGACCGCAAAAGAGTTTGTGAACGGACCTATGAAGTCCTTCCTTCTGGATGTGCACACGAAATTGAATATATTAATTAAAATATCTAAAAGTTACCTTATAAAAGAAGAATTATTCAAAAGGCTTGAGATATTTTAAATCGAATTAAAGAAAAAATTTGAGAAAGAAAATGTTAAAAAACAGAATTTATCTATGCCAGAATAATTAGTTATTAATTAAAATCCTTATTTTTGGCAAATTTAAAAAATTGAATATTTCTTTAATTCGTTCTTTATGTTTACCCATTCCAAATTTTTGTATTTAAATCATCTTCATCATTAAAAAAAAATATATATATGTAAATCCTTATACATTGCAACTATCTATCTCAAAACCTTAGACCACCACCCATACAAAAATTAGTTTTTTTAGCTAAAATTAACATTTTCAGCATTTTAATATATTTATATACTTTCTGAAATAGTCAGGATATTTTTAACGATATAAGTTCACAAGCAGACACATAGTAAAAAGGAAGGGAAATTTCCAACCATTCACACTTCTCCCTACAAAAAAATAATCGGAGGATTCTAAGTACACATAATAATAATATATCACAAAATGACATGTTTGAATGGTAAACAAAAGTATATATGATCCAGTATTTGATCTGAAAGCGCAACCCATTATTCTACCAACTGAACGGAGTGTACCGCTACGTCATTAATCTACATTTTGGTTACTTAAGTGGTGCGTCCAATATAGATAGGGTATTAAAAAGGCACCAGCTATATCTGAGAAAAACTGATCTACGTGGATATTTCTTAACTTTATAGCTGGATTTACGTGGTATATTGTCCAGTCTTTTGCCATTTCGTGGGCAAAATATAACAATAATAATTTGCTGTATACTTTCCAAACAAAGTAAATTTTCCACTTCATCAAATGCAAGATAAATAATATCAATATGCCATTACATAAATTAATAGATATTAAAATTTTTTTTGAATATTTTTCATTTTCATTTTATTTATATTTATTTAAATACAACATTTTGAAACGATTTATCATAGTTATTTATATTATTTTTTATTTAATATTTTTTAAATATATATTATAGCTTTATAATTTTTATTATATTCAAATTATGTATTCGTTAATTATCATTTTCTTAATTAATAAATTTATAGCTGTATTCATAAATATTTATAAATATTTTAATATATGCTTAACTTTTATTTTATATCGATTATGTTTATAAACATTTTAACACACGATTTTGTTTTTTGTTTTTTTTTGTTTTATTTTTTTTTTAATAAATTACAATATTTTAAAAATTAATATGCTTTAATTGGTTTTTTATATAATTTATTTATTAAATTAAGATTTTATAATAATAGTTATATTTATTTTACAAAGATTTATGCTTTGCTTTATATTATATATGTAATGAGTACAAATAAATGATGATTTTTTTTTTAATTTAATGATATGGAATAAAAATATCTCGAAAATATCTATATTTTATATAGAAAAATAATAATGAGCTTTTATATACGTTTATATATTACATTTAGCTAAATTAATTTAAAAAAGTTTTAAGTATGCATGAATTTTTGTTTTTTTACTTATAAAATAGCACTTCAATTATTTGCAAACAATAACAATAAATAAATTAAATTTAAATTTTTATTTATTTTAATCCATATGATAATATTTAGTCATTTTATTATGTGTTAATTTTAGTACGGCAGTTAATTTTTAATAACTTTTGATTGTTTACATTTATGTTTTTTATGCAATTTAAAAATTTATAAATAAAAATTCGTTTTCAATATGAAACTTAAGTTAGAATAATGCATAAAATTCATTTATAAAATAATTTATTAATAATAAAACTTTGACCAAAATATGTAACATGAATTGCGATTACTTATAGACACTTTATTTTATAGTGTTATTTATTATTAACGTATCATAAAAGCTAAATTGAGATTTGTACAATTATGTTTTTGTTTTGCTTTTCCTTTTATAAACAAAATAAGATTATTGTATAATTTTCTAGAAAGAATATGAAGATAATGAAATAAGCTTGAGCTGCATTGTTTCAGACCCAATAAGTATTGAATTGATGAAGAGATTTATTTAAAGAGATCATAGCTACAATTAAATTTTGTGTAATATATTTTATAATCTTTATAACTACAAAATATAAACAAACATATAAATAAATTAATATTAAATACATTAATTAAAATTGTTTTACTAGATTTGGATAGTCGCTTTAAAAATTGGCTTTTGAATATAAATATTTTGCTAAAATTTTTATTTTAAATTTGAACATATTGTTTATGCATATTGTAAATAAATACATAATAAATTATTATATATATGCATATATTTATATATCTTTTGCTATAAACGCTTTTGTTCTGGTTGTAGTAATTTCATAAAATTTTATGTGGGATAAAATTAATTCAACTTGTTAAAATTATCTTATAGATTAATTATTTATAATTGTTTGTGCAGGTTCTAAAACATTTTTTTTTTTTCGTTCTGTTAAACTGTTTTTATATATTTCTATTTACGATTGATATTTAGTGGGCACGCGCCTTATTTTAGCTTTTAATTTTGAGTGCGAAAAAATTTTCAAAACGGTTTAGTTTCTATAATTTTCTAGGGTTTACTTTTGTCATCGAATGTGGGAGCAATTTTATTCAAAAAGGCATGCTAAAATAAAGGCCCTCATCGGGGGCCACACGCAAACTCTATAAAAATCTGGGTGGTCCGGAATTGTACGTCCCAGATGGTGGGTGTGGTGCAGGTGAATGTTGCCCTTGTCGTAGAACATCGAATGGCGAATTTGAACGCTGCATAAAATGATGATAATTTGTGGGCGGCAATTGATGCTAAATATATATAAACATTATTAAACATTAAATATTTAATTTCTTTATTATAAACGTACCTGCAATCCACGTATACTAATTGGTCCTGCAGCGCCTGCTCCTCCGCCCATTATGTGACTAGGTCCATCACCTAAGTCCAACTGCAGACTCTCTGGCATATCACCACTGCTACCATTGTTGGCACTATTTGCTAAATGTAATTGTCCAAGAGATGCTGTAGCCATTGCTACATCAGGCATCATGTCGGACAAATGGCCGCCATTACTGTTATCTACACATCCTACTGCACCACCTTCAGCACCTACATCAAGTGTGCTACCGTGAGGAAAACGATAATCTCCTTCAGTTATAAGCGCAGGTAAGTCACTACGGTGGTGATGTGCTGAGGCAGAAAGTCTAGCGTAATTAGTTTGCAAACCACTGCTGCTACCGCTACTAATGCTCATGCCTAGTAAACCACCGGGATGTTGTCGCGGGAAAGTTAAATTACGACTATAGCATGCTGGTACATTGTCACCACCACACGTAGACGATGCAGCTGATGAACCCACAGACGCCGAAAGAAACGAGCTTGCTGTAGTGTGACGTGGTACGGAACTAGTAGCTGCTGGTGATGGTGGTGGAGTCTGATCTTCATCTTCTAATAAACAATCATCCGTTTGTGTAGTAGATGTAACACCACCATCATCTGAAGCACCACTTTGGTTTCGTAATAGTGATGTCTCTAATAAATCAGATACTGCATCCGGCAAGTTAAATTCTCGTACTACTCGTAAGCGTATTTGTCGATCAATTTCGTGTTTTGAAGAGAGTGGTAAATGCAATGCACGCTGGCACATTGGTGTTTGACGCAGTTTATGTTCCCGCTTTAGCATTGAAGCTAATGTTTGTGTATCTGGTGGTGGTATTGCCGCTGCCGCTGCAAGCATATCAACATTGTCTGTACCACTGCAACCTACATTTGCACCCATACCACTATTTGCAGCGGCATTCATACGTGATACCATATATAACGTGTCCGGAATATCAGGCAAATGACGTGACCGCCGCATGCGCATAAGTTCAACCTGATGGTGCGATGAAGCCATACGATCCTCAAGTAATGCTTTAACTTCTTCGAAGTATGGCATGAACAATCGGGGCCGCACAAAGAGACCTTGATTCTTTCCACCACGAATCCATGCATTTACACGTAGGTTTTCACGTTCATCACCAATCATATGAGAAGGAGGTGTGCTGACTAAACCACGACGTATAGCTTGACCGAGTACTTCACTATTGGGCGGAAGAACATGATCCATACGTACTAACGGCAATAACTCAGAAAGTATTTCACGTAGTTCCACATCACTTAAATCACGCTTTTTTACTCCTTTTCGTGCAACAGAATGCGCCGTGTGTGAAAGTATATTTGGCTCACGATCTTCCATCCGTCGTATTAATTCTTGTTCACCCCATTTTAATACAGCCTGTAATACCTCCAATTCAGAAGCTTGCAGAAAATTACTTTGTAAAACGTGTATTAATTGAGTTTTGTCCAACTGATGTAATACTGGAGATGAAATAATCGCAGAAAACTCTTCACGTAAGTATTGGCATGCTTGGCGAAATACCCATGCAGAACCATGAGCCTAAAAATATGTACTTATTAGTTTAAGGCATATTGAAAAAAAAAAATATAAATAAATTACCTGAGATCCCCATTTTAGCACCGTCGGTAATGTTTCCAGCGACAACCACTCAAGTATTAAATCTTCGCAACCTTGTGCTAAAATATCTAATTCCAAGAATCTACCTATTTGATAAAGTTCCATAGCCTCTTCCAGTGGTGTAGGTCTCACACGTCCTGTATTTGTCAGTGCATGTACCTCTCCTAGAGAACCTGCTGAATTGCCCGAACCAGCACCACGGAGTATTAGCGACAAATCTACTGTATCTAAGTAGATTGCGTGTAGTAATACTCGCGCATATCGTTTCGGTATGACTGTTTCGTCTAGCACTATGCGTGTTGGCACATGTAATGCTCGTTCCGTATATTCATCAACATTTCTGGTACGTCTAGCAATGAGATTTCTAAAGAATGGCGATCGTGCACTTAATATGGCTTTATGACATGGCAGCTCCAATTTTGGCCGAAATCCATATTCAGAACTACCCGAATCTGGTCTATGATAATCATTTCCTTCGGCTGTAAAAACGAGTGCAGCATCTGCATAATCGCCAGTTTCCAGTAAATAACGTAAGTCATGTTCTAATGGATTCGGAGTGCCGAAGTCATCGCCTAGTTGACGCAAAAGACTAACATCAATTGTAGGATCATGTGGACACAAATCACCAGTATACAAGTAACGCAATAGCGATGAAAACATTTGCACATCAATCATTGGTGATGATGGCAGTTCGAGACATATGCGTGCACCGAAACCAGGACAGCCAGCTAGTAATTCACGAAAGTAAGCACAACGTGAGGAGAGTATTGAGCGGTGTACAGGAAAAATTGAACCACGGAAGACTAAATCGCAATCCGTACATGTCTTCATATCATATAACGCAGCTAGGTCCTGTTTATAGGTTGTGGCAGGAGGTCGAGCTAATTCCGCTTGCATCTAAATTGTAATAAAATTGTTAATTTTATATTAAATTAAGTACGTAATCAAAATATTTTATACATATATATATTTAACTACTCACCGATAGATCTCTTAATGCAGCTAAAGCTTCATATTCTTCACAGAGCGCCGCTAACTCTAAAGGCGTCCAGTCAGATACAAAATCACGCAATACGCGCGCATGATCACAGGCTTTTGATGAACGTCTACGACGTATAAATTTTCGTTTAAGTGTAGCAAAGCCCGTAACACGTTTTCGTCGTTGCTCTCGAAAATGTGGTCCACCTCCTGCACCAGCAAAACTGCTACCACCAGGTCCACCACCACTTCCTGATGCACCTGCCGTCATAGCAGCTGATGTTGGCAAAAGCAGACCTGAGTTACTGCTGCTAGCTGAGCTGCTCACCATCGGATAGCCACTTGTTGACGTATTTGCACCCATTATGGTCAATATTAGAATTTATGTGCGCCACAAAATTTTATTAATGCAAATACTGTACAGAGATTTAGATGAATTTCTAAAGCGAAAATCTCTATGGTGCTTGGTGACTTCCTCTCGTTGCTCTGATACTCAAATGCACTATATGAAATTCTTTTAAATGAACGCTGTCATATTTTATTATTTAAATTATTTTATTTGTTGCTTTATGGTTGTTTATTATTTTGGTGAGGTGACTAAGGTTGTCGGTCATATAAAATGTTTGCACACAATGTTGAAAATTAAATGCTCCAGCCGTCTAAATTAATTGAGACAAAAACAATCAGAATAATAGATTCATTTCAGATCTGCTATCTATATTTCGTTTTTGATATATTTCGGGAGTTGCTAAAATGAAAAAAAAATAGAGAAATTCTGTTAAAAAAATCTTAACAAAACAATCGAATTGTATCTTATATGTGTATTATATATTATTAAATAAAAATAAAATACTTTAAAGAACTGTAGAAGAACTGCACTTTATATTACAGTGAAAGCTCCGTTAAATGTTGAGTTTTCATTTTTTATTTTACTTTGAATCGAATAGAATATTTTATTGTATTTATATTTATATCTATATTTACATTTATATTTATGTTTAACTATATCTTCACATTTATATTGATATTCATATAAATTAATATTAAAACATTCCATAATTTGTCAATATCTATATTCCCAAAGAGCATTTGGCGATCAACAACTGAATGCGCAGTTACAGTCCACTCTTACGTTTAGTTAATTCAGGGTAACGTCACTAACTCTGAGATAATCATGATAACCAACACATGTGCGTCTCTGGTTCATGTCCCAGAAAGGAGGCCTCTAGAAAGGAGGCTTTGGTAGTACTACTACAACATAATAAATAATCAATATGTGACTAATGAAACTTAACGTTTGAACTAAAAACCATCTTCGACTCTACCTATTATTATCGGTGTATTCAGGATCCATATTAACCTTTTCTGCACATGCCACGGCAATGTACAGTCGACAGAAATCACGCACTAATGTATTGAAAGCGCTTCCTGGTTATCCATGGTGTAAAGATAATTCTGTAAGACGCAATGAAATAACATTCAAATATGTCAAAACACAGCTTTGCATATTAGAACCGGTTCTCATCGCATATTGATCATCTTCCTACAAAATCCTAAATGCATCTTGTAAAAGACCACAATCAACTGCTGTCCAAGCAATATCTCCTTGCGTGCCACTAAGGTGGACATTCCAATGGCATAATATTTAGTAAAACCCTCCCTCCAAGATGCATTCTTCGATTGTTTTTTTTATACCATTGATATATCAACTTCTATTGCAATAGAGCTAACATCGAGACCACGATTGCACTACAACAAAGTAGTATAACCAACTGCTAAATAGCTGTCATGAAAAAATGCGTTAATTTATAATGAGTGCCCTTACAGCACCTCTTTTTCCCATAATCTCGTCCATCTTTTTTCGTGTCCCAACGCACACACAAACCAGAGTTCAATCAACTTTTGGAACCGTCCCATAAAAATGACTTTAATTTAAATCTCACCGAACCCAGAGTTCATAACCCATGCACATCCTAACACTTATATTCGTCAAGTGATTTCTTTTATGTTATCTGTGTTACAGATCCCTGTGGGTTACAATAACAATTTAACGTATGAATTGAAGCTACGTAGGCCAAACTGAACTTTTCCAGACAAACAAGTAGATGTTCCGTTTGGGAGCAATTAGGCGATCGAATAATATCGTATGATTATGCCGTTGATAAAACTAAGCGCCGGGACCGGATTTGAGAGAACACGGGTGTTAACTTACATTGTGACCGAAAAGTTTTCGGAAATTCTCATTTAAAATTCGCGCGCTGTATATTTTTCGATATTTTAAGTTTATGTAGTTTGGCAGCACTGTCCTTAATTACTATGCCAAAAATGAAGCGCGATCTGTCAGACAGTTCGTTTACGGCAGCTGTTGAAACCAGTTCACCTCAGTAGTGCGTTGCGAAAAAAACAATGGAAAAAAATATTGAACAAAGAGTTTGCATCAAATTTTGTGTTTCGAACGAAATTTCGTGTGCAGAATCTTTGCGAATGCTACAAAAGGCTTATGGGGAATCAGTTTTATCGAAAACTCAAGTTTATGAGTGGTACAAAGCCTTTCAGGACGGTCGTACGACCGTCGAAGACATGCCGCGTTCTGGACGACCTTCGACCTCTACCCCCGACGAAAACATTGAAAAGGCAAAGGAAATCGTGTTCCAAAATCCTCATGTGAGTGTTAGAGAGATAGCACGAGAGCTAGGCATCGGTCGTGAGATGGCTCGTTTGATTTTGGTGGAAAATTTGTGTATGCGACGTGTCAACGCTCGGCTTGTTCCGATTCACCTCAATTTGTTCCAACATTATCAACGATTTTAAGGCCAAACATTCAATAAATACCATCGAACAGCCACCGTATTCACCTGATCTTGCACCGTGTGACTTTTTCCTGTTTCCCAACCTCAAATTACCACTCAGAGGAACGCGTTTTGAATCCATAGAAGACGTAAAACAGAATTCGCAGAGGGAACTCAAAGCCATACCGGAAAGCGCCTATAAAAAATGTTTTGATGATTGGAAGAAACGTGGCATTTGTGTATCGCTTCTTAATGGAGCATATTTTGAAGGAGATAAAATAAATATTGATGAAGATTAAGAATTTTGCGTTTTATTTAAAATTTCCGGAAACTTTTCGGTCACAATGTATATATTAAGATTTTTGCTTGATAACAATTTTGATTAATTGTCAGTAGTTGATAAATTTGTCAAGTTTACAGAATAAGGGGGATAATATATAAGTTAACACACGCGTCTCCTAAATCCAGCCCTGTGCTTAGTTTCATTAACGGAGCAATCATGCGATATTCGAACGCATGGTTGCTACCAAACGGGAAATCCACTTGTTTGTCTGGAAAAGTCCCGTTTGGCTTCAGTAGCTCCCAACTTCACAAAATTGCGCTCGGTCTCTTCTACTTGATCTATCGAACAAGAAACGCTGAATACCGGACAAATTAAAATTAATATTTAACTTATATATATAAAATATATATAGATATATATATATCTTTATATTATTATATATAAATATAACACATTAGATTGCACAGTAAGTAGTTGTAGTTCATTCGTACAATCCACTAATAATAGAGCAAATGCAACCTAAAACATTCTGCGAGTTGACTGAGCCAAAAAACATCTTATAGTAAATATAATACATAAAAGGAGGGAGTGAATAAAAGACATAAGGAAGACATAACAACATAATTACAATTATATTGGTGCCATATTAAGCTACTTTGTAAATTTATTATTATTTTATTTGAAAACAAAAATGAATAACTATTTCTTATTTAAAAAACTATAAGTAAGCCAAAAATTAAAATAAAAGTGTACTTTGAAACAAAGATAAATTGATTGAGAGACAAAACAAAATAAATGTCAAATGTATTGAAATATTTGGTATTAAGAAGGTCAGAACCTTATCAAGTAGACCGTTAAGTTGAATAAGTAAAAACCTTCAGCTCAAAGGAAAGTTCACTCAATATGTCAAGAAATAATTGCTTATTAAAAACAAATATAGACATATTCTTATATTGCCAGAATATTTAAACTAAATTATGTATTAAATTCAATTCAACTAAAATTTGTTGAACATTTATGCCAAAAACAATTTACATATTAAATCAGATCCTTAACAATAATGCGACTAAAATTATATAAATACTTGGAATTCCATTTTAAAACAGGAAATAAATCGTAATTTCATACCGAAGCAAGTACAAATACACAAAAATATACTCAACCTTGACCTACTCAACTAGAAAGTTTTAAATTTCAGCAAAAATAAAAATAGCAACAAAAAAAAGACAAAAGATGAAGCGCACATCACTATTTTTGCAGTGACCCCAGCTCTCTAGAAACGCATAAAAAGTGCATGAAAAAATCAATTGAAATAAAGCTACAACCCGGAACCACCCCATTATGTGCACAACCACACTGACGCACGCTCGGAAACGGTAAATAGAACAAAATATCACAGACGTCACATGTTTAAAGTTCAAAGAAATTGTTCCGTTAAGGAATACCGTAAAGTCAACGGTGAAACCTGTTATAGACGTCAAAGCAGGATATTTTATGTAATACATATATGAAAACAAAAACAAAAAAGAAAATACTACATTATGTTACATAGTTATGAAAGGATTACTTATTCAAGCGGAAGTACGACATGAAATTCAGTTTCTTTGTAAATATATTTTTGAAAAAAAAAAGTTTTAGAGATATTAAGTTTACATGTTTTCTACGATATTAAATTTATGTTTAGAAAAATTAGAACTCGGATATATATGTCAAGTCCTAAACCGAAATATCTAAATCAAAAAATATAGGTATCAAATTAATACGAGGGCTGCTATATGTATTTCTGGCCTAATAATGAAAATGCGAATATTTATCATCAAAACTGGTTTTATTGTTTTTCAAAGTATTCTCCAGCCTGATTTATACACTTTTGCAGGCGCTCAAACCAATTGTCGAAGCACTTTTTCCACTCCGATTGAGACACCTTCAAAACATGGTTTTTGAACGCTTCAACCGCATCTTCTGGCGACGAAAAACGTGATCACGCCTTTTTTTCTTGATGTGCGGGAATAAAAAGCAGGGTTCGTATTTGCTCACTCATGAGCAGCTCAGGCTTATGAGCAAGAGCCAATTCGTATGTGAGCCCAAAATTGGCTCATGAGCGTGAGCCCATAATGGGTTCATATTGAAGAGCTGCTCACCAGCGTGAGTCTTCAAGTTATTCATATTGAAGAGCTGCTCATGAGGTCTCACGAGCCGAGAGCTCACGAGCTCAACTCTTTAAAAGCTATTTATTAGTTAATTTGCTTTATTTATTTTTATAAACGTTATATGTGAAAATATATACTTTCATATTAAAACAATATAACGAAACAATAATTTGAATTTGAAAAACAAATTTATAAAATATTATTATTTTTCACAAATAAACAATAAAAATATATTTATTGTTTATTTTAGCAACTTTGATTATTTCCATATTTTAGTTAGTTCTAGGTTATTAATATTTTAATCTTTTTTAATGACATGTTTTCACAAAAAAAAATAATAGCAAAATCTTAAATTGGGCGCATGAGATCTCATGAACCGCAGCTCATACTCTTGCTCTCGAGCGTGAGCCCATTTATAACTTAATGGCGGCTCTTGCTCGTGAGCGTAAGCTCTGTAGTTGGGCTCGCTCGTGAGCCGAAATGAGCAGCTCATGGGTACGCAAATACGAACTCTGATAAAAAGTAG